TAAAATCTCACACGCGCTCGCATTTGTCAGTTGAGATTTTTAACTCAACAATGAATTTTTTGAATTTCTGCAGAGCGTGAGTGCAAAAGTATTGTTGCAAGCACATATTTAAATTTAATTAATATATAGGATTTCTGGACTTTTAATAAAAACATATTTATAAATAAACATTCACTTCATTGTTGCATTTAAATTCAACAATTACAATTTTTGAAAAATCAATTTATTTTATAAATTGTTACAATTATTCATTATTACAATAAAATGGTAAAAATAATTTGCATTTTCAAAATACAAGATTTTTGTATAAAATAAATCTAATAAAATTAGTGAATAGTTTTAGATAAATACTTTATTTTAGCTAAAAATATAATTTTAGTTAAAAATATAAGAGTTTATATCAATATATCTTATAATCAAATATTAAATGTATTAAATATTTATAGCATGCATTAAATAATGATTTTAATTTATCTATTATAAAAATTAAATTTATTTTAATGATTAAAAATATATATTATAGTTACTTATAATTTATAAATCAATGGAAATACCGGTCATTACTTTTGAAATACATATGGTTTGACTAAACAATGACTTTAAAATAAATTAAATTGTCGACAATTAGTGGTAATAAACTTATAAAGTAATCAATTTTTTGTGAGAATTATCCGCATTTGGACTCATTCTTTGGCGTGAATTGTATGAAGTGGACGATGGAGTGATGACAGACGGCGTGAGTACTGGTGTCAGACCAGTCCCTCCTTCGGCCAGAGCCTCGAGGAAAATACCGGTCGATGGCGTCTGAATGGGTATTCCCGTGTCAGACATCGGGTCGCTGTAAACGCATCCCAATGACAGTGTGTTGGGTCGAGACCTGGGGTTAGTGTTGATCGCAATCACACTTCCGTTGCTCACCACTGGCTTCACATCCATTTCGTGGACTTTCAATGAATTCATTTTGCAATTCATTTTATGTGTGGCGAGAATGGCTTCCAATTCGTCCTTCTGTTTGCGTAACGCCTCGACTTCGTTCAGCAAAGACTGTCTCTTCTCTTCCAAACCATCCGTTTCTATCAACAAACTGTTCGTGTGATCCATACGTCTCTTCCGACAGCGAGCGGCCGCCTGTTTGTTGCGCTCTCGACGCTGTTGTCTCTTCTTCTCCTCCGCGGGAGTCAACTATTAATGTAAAAAAATAATATAAGTTTTGGTCAAATAAGTTACAAATCAATACAACGGCTTTCAATACCTTATCGTTTCGCATGGGTTTGCGACCACTCTTTCCGCGTACTTTAGTTGCCGTCACTTTTTGTTTGTTATAATCGCTGCCATTATTGGCCGAAGTGTTGTGTCGGTCGACGTATGCATTCCAATGGGAGTCGGATCGGGAAGAGCTGTCTTCGTCGGACTCATAATCGGATCCAAACTCCAAATCACTGGCATTACTGTTGCTGTTATTACTGCTGGTATTCAAGTCGTTGTTTAAGTTATAGTTGGAATTAATGGACGCATAATTGGCCGATATGTTGACCAATGGGGGCACAAATCGTGCCTCTTGTGGATGCGGTCGCGACTGCGGAGGAATAATCTCCATAAACGACTCCTCGATGTTCTTCAAAGTGGTGGGCGTTAAGGTTGTGGTCGTTTGACTCAAACCTCCGATGTTTGCAAACTAGACATCAAATGAGAAATATTGTTATGAGAAACAAATGACGAGTGATTTGTTATGATTTGCCACTAAAAGCACTAAAACCTCATTTAAAGCTTAACACAGATTTTGTGCACAAAATATACGCCAAATGAGGAAATTATTGTTGAATTTGTTTTCAATTCACACACAAAACAGTGTTAAGAGTAAAGTCTCGTAAGATATTTGATAAATATTTTCATAATATTAACAAACATTGAAATCAAGCGAAAAATTATTGCAATAAATATAGCATTGATTTGAATTGAAAGCAATATTTGATAAGAGATTTCAGTACTCAAGCGTTGAGTACAGAGAGAGTGAGATATGGTATTGAAAATTACAACAAAAAAGTTTTTGTTATACTTCTGAAGCGATAGTTTAGTTATACATATGTTTTGCATTCATATCTCAATACCATTTATTCAATAATTGGTATTCAAATTGAATGCAAACAATGTTTACGAATGAATGAAATGAATGAAAAAATGAAAGCAAACATCACTTACAGTCTCGTTAGAAGTGGTCGAAGGCATTGAAACACTATTATTAGGATTATTATGATTGCGATTACTATTAGTTATAACTGTGTGTGTATTGGAGTCATACGAATCCATTCACACATTCATTAAAACATTGATTTACTGTTAGTTTGAATGAATGAATCAATTGTTACAATTAAGTCACAAAAAGGTCTATCGCTGTACTGCTTGTATGCATTGACTCATACAATACAATCACTGAATGACTCATTCGTATAGAGAAATGGTGTCAAAACTGAAGGAAAAGCCCCACAAAAGGCATGACATCATTGCATTGCAATAGAGGGTGGCTTTCAATCGACACCCAATGCCTGCCATTGGCTCACAAACGGAGACACGTCTGTGAGCCGTACACGAGAGGGCCGTTCATAACAACTGTGATCACTGTTTTGAAGAATCGAGTTTTGGTTGCCATAAGAGTTGTGTTTCAATTGCTATTCAATTCATTTCCGTTTTTATGAATAGTATTTAAAGAATATTTTGCACTCATTTTTCATTTAGTTTTAGCTTTGGTTTCATTTTTCTGTACTTTTGATCATTGAATCGCTTTCACAAACATCTAATGATTTACTAATTTTGATATTTGATACCAAATAAACATTAAATTATGGTTTCATTAAGAAATATATTTAATATTTGTCACAATTATTGTGCCGTAACTACAAATGAAACTATTATTCTTGTGTAATCATAACTTATCAACTTTCAATACTTTATCATTTGATACAGTAATCCATTATTTATTGTAGTATTAACTTTTAAAACATGTGAAATATTAGAGAATTTAATTACAAATTAATCGCAAAGTTATTTACAGCAAAGCATTCAATAAATATTACAGAATTCGCACTCTTATATTGCAAAAATTTTATTTTACAGTATATCATGTTATTATAATTAGTCGCAAACAGAATGCATATTTAAATGCCATTATTTGATGAGATTTTATGTAATATCCTGTCTATCCCTTCAAATAATATTAATTCATTGCTTACTTATTAATACATTATTTATTTTACTAAATATCTAATGGCATTTTAAAGTTTAAAGTGCCATGATAACTATTTCTTTAAATATTTGAGTTATTGCTGCATGACAATTCTTTATATTAAATTGTATATACAATTCAAATGTTGCATGATCCATTTTGGATACAATATGAATTAACTAATATAAACATATAAAACATAATGAACAGGAATTAATTAACAGTAAATAATAAAACTATAATTACATAACAGTTACATAACGTATGTTATGAACGAAATGTCATCACTTGAAACAAGTAAACACTTTAAACATGTTTGAAATATTGTTACAAATTAAAAGTCTTTAAAATGTTATATTTAATTACAATTTAGATAATCAGATAATGACAGTAATGACACAAATGATGGTTAGTTTGAGTACATTATATATAATGTGAAGCATTGCTCACATCAAGTGCTATATTAATAATTGTGTTCATAAATGCATTGATTGAATGAATGTTTAAACAAATTGAATGTCATTTCAAATTGAGTGTAAAAAACAAAGTTTACTCAATAATTGGCTGTAATTAGGCTTAAATTAGTTGTGTTTTTGGCTACAAATAAAACACTTGTTTTTCAAATGAATTGTATTTGTGTTTCTGTCGTCTGTTATCTGAAGAAACAAATGAAAAGCAATAGTGTTTTGAATTGAGTGTTAATTGCGTGCAATATATGGCAATATATGGCAACAAAATGGTCTCATATGTACCGCATATGACATACGGTTTAATAACATTTATAATTGTTATGATTTGTTTGAATCAACAAAGGATTCACTCAATAGACAGCAATCGACACGATATTAAGACATGGCTTCAAGACAGTGGTCTGAATGGGAAGACAACAAACAAACTCATCGCCAGAACCGGTAATTATTGAAAGACCGCTATTTAATGGTTATGTAATGACAATGCAATCAAATGTCATTCATGTGATGATCGCAATGATTGCCTATTCATTCATCACGTGTTCATTATTACTGATCTTATCGTTGAATTCATAATCAAAGCAATTATTCATTGAATTATTGATCGCTTCCGACCACTGATTGTTAAACAAAACATTAAAATATATAAAAATAGTATATTTTGCATAAACTGAGAGTTAAGAGTAATTGATGTCGAGATCTCTGTATTAATGATACAGTATTTTGATGTCATTTCTGGCATAAATTGACAATATATTGAACTTTTAGCTTAAGATTCAATGAACCGATTCTTTGAATGAATTGCCATTCAATGGTAAATGTATTGTCAGTATTGGGTTTGAGAGTTACATAAGTCTGTGCTTTTGTTTTTGAATAGTTTTCACATCTTGTGATTGAATGCAAATATTATGTTATATTTTCAAACAAACGTTTTTATCACTTGTATATTATTGACAGATTAGATGATAAATAATACATAACTTGTGTTTTATATAGCATATAGTTTTATATTTATTTGTAAATTAAAATGTATTTCAATTTTTGAACACATTTTTATAAGTGTGTGAAAAATAAAGGGTTAATAAAAAAGAGTGAAATACAAGAATATTTTCATTTTGGGAACACTTGATAGCGATTAAGTTGTTTTAATGACAAGAGTTTCAGTTTTATTGATACAATTTGTTTGTTATGATATCTTTTAAAGGATGCAATACTTTGATCAATTGTGTGGATGTGATCACCACTCTTGGCCAACAGTTGGACGGCCAGACATCGAGTGGTTCCCATTCCGAAGCCCTCAAAATTCTTGTTGAATTAGCCGTCGCTTTCAAGAATCACACGATTCTACAGAAATGGCTCACAAATAATAATATTGCCAATGATTTCATCCATATGTGAGTTATTTTGTATATTTTTTATAAGTTATTTCATTTATTATTTAATAATTTAACACTGAATGCGATTCTAGTGAAGTACATGTAAATATTGAATAAATGATTAATGCATTTAAAGCGAAGAATTAGCGAGAATTTGTTTGTAATTGTTGTGTTGACACTTGACTTTGTTTAAAAGTAACATTTTTATTTAATTAAATCTTAAATTAAATATTAGATTTTGTTATCAATTCAGATTTTCAAAGTCAATGAAACTATTATTTGATTAAAATATCCTTTTTCGTCCCTAACAATCATTATCTCATACTATTATTATTTACAATTCTATGCGATAAAGACATTCATAACTTCACTTCTATTATAATTCTTGGATTTTTAATATTTTTACATTTAATAGTTTTAAGACTTTATATGTAGTGTTTTGCCAATTAATTTTTATATCAATTTTCATATTAATTAAAATAAATATTAGCTAATATTATATCGCATTTTATCCCACTATAAAACCTAAAGCGTGAAAGAAAACTAACAATAAAAAGATAATTTAGCGGTTTGTTGTGTGGATATTGTAATGTATTGTAAAAGTGTTGTCCAAATGTTCACATAAAGGCACCAGAATTTCCATATCAACGCATATTTTTGATACTTTGGTTGACGGGATGCGTCGCTTCCAGGCGCTCAATACTCACATCTACTCTATGTTTATATGAAAATGTATTTTATTTAATGTGGGGCAAAAAAAAATTCAGTATTTTATATATTTTACATTCAATGCGATGAATGAATGATAAATATTAGATAAACAATGAAACAAAAGCTCTGTTTGCTTTGTTTTGTCGTATTTATATTTTAGTGGTTTTGGTGTTTATCCACAGAATTAGCGTTTAGTATGCGTTCAAATGAGTCTAATTTAAACATTTAAACCTATGGTTACATTATTTATAATTAAAAAATCATTTTTACCTCACATTAAAACCTTTGGAATGGATTCTTTCAAAACAATTAAGTTTTGATCGATATTTCTCTGGAGATTTGTGTTATTATTCTTGTATTATTTTAGTGTTTGAAAACTTGTGTCAAACTGTCTATAATGTGAACCTTATCTTCGCACACATTATCACATTTCTCTCTACACTTCACTCTCCATCCATCCCTCTCTCAATCAATCGAATTGTTTTTATATAATTATATTTATATTCACTTTCAATACATTTGAGAATTAAATTCGAGTTCATTTGAAACGTTAATATAAAATCGATATTCAAAATATGAATTATATTTTTTTATTAAAAAAGTTTATTGAATGTGAGAATTGATATGAATGTGTATTTTATGTCAATCAATATGCATATAGTTTACTGTGAATCGCGTCTAAAATAATACACTTCTCTATTATTCCATAGCATTGAAAGTAAATATAATTCAAAGTCATTACAAGAATTGTCGTCTCTTTATTGGATTCAACAAAACAATGAATTGATTGAAGAAATCAACGCAAACACAGACCTGAAAAATGCATTCGAGTCTTTGCCCAACGATTGCCATCAATTAGACTCTCTGAGCGATGATATCTGGATTGACATCAATAGGACTGATACAAAGCCATGGAATTGGGGTTTGTTTTAATGCAATCAATGTCTAATTAATTCTTAATTATTCACTATATGTTTGATTTTCAATAACTAAGTTTGAACACTACATTTGTAACCTATTTTCTGCTTACAATCGATACATATATCATAAGAACGAATGCGCGAAAACACTCTTTACTTTTTACTTCTTTTCATTTTCAACATTAAATAAATTAAAATTAGGTTTTATTATATATTTTGTTGATTTTTCTCTATTATCTTATGATCTAATTATTTTAATGTTCGCGAAGTTATTCCCATCTTCTCTGAAAGTCATTTGTATTTTTGTTTATTCTTTTGTTTTCTCTCAAAACTATCGCTTATTTAACTAATAATATTGATCTGAATTTATGTGCATTTATTTTCAGACCAAATGTTTATAACATCATTAGTCATAGCAATTGCCATATCATTCATTACAATGATAACCAATAGTCAGAAATCGGGATTCTTGTCATTTGTAACTGGAAATTATTTGGCGCCACAGAACTCACGAGTGAAGTTCGAGTGGACAGATCCGGCAGTCGTCGGCAATACAATGACTTTTGTAGTTAAAGTTAGCGTTTTATATCACATAAAATGTGAACTATATTATAGTTTCGATTCTTATCGTAATTCTCTTTTGAAAAGTTCTTTCAACGAAATGGTCGTCCGTTTCCGATATCGAGTGAAGACAATCTGAAAGTAGAGATAATTCAAGGATCGCATGTCATTCCCTCGTCGACAGAGTTGGGCGGATGTGATCCCAGAACTGCTAACACAGCGAGAGTTCAATTCACTGCCAAACGGTCGGGTTCTTACAGCATAAGTATATTGATTGGTCCGAATCCGGCGCACATTCGCGGCTCTCCTTTCACTGACATATACTTCCTGCCGACTAATCCCTCTCCTCAGGTCAGACACTGCATACTTCCCATGAGTTTTGATTAAATATCTAACAAATGTGTAAATAATAGGAAACCGGATTTATTAACTATTGCTCGACAGTCATATGCACTGAGAAGACACCGCACGCTTTGTTCATTAAACTTAGGGACAAATACGGAAACTTATGTCCCATTTCTCAGAATTTTGACGCCAGCGATGATTTCTCCGTCGATTTGGTGGAAATGTCGTCCGGAAAACCGATTCATTCGGCTTTTTATTGGGATATTCAGCCAAATCTAAGTCGAATTGCACTCGTCTTAAAGTTAGATAAGGAAGGCCTTTACAGTGCGGTTGTCTCATACCGGGGCTCTTCCCTCAAAAATGGCGAGTTTAGTATAATTGTGTTGAACAGCACTGAATCGGCTTTAGTTCAGAAGCATTCGAGTAAAAAGAGCCAAACGTCGGGATTCTCTGCCAAACTATTGACACAAAATAACGATCGACTGAATAAACCGAAAAAAGTATTCTGTTATATATCTCCCAAACAGTTAACCATAAAAGAGTACATTTTGAAGATAATTCCCAAACGAATTGTCACTTTCCGTTTGTGTCCGTCGACTAAATTCCAGTTTTCAAAGTTGGACAGCAATCTATCGCCGACTGAAGACAATAGTGATATAGCGAACCAATTGCTTGTTATCGATGACGGCTGTCAGCCTCCCATCGAACTCATTAGCGAAGAGCGGAACGTAATCGCAGCCACTTTTACACAATTCCTATTGAATAATATCGGCGGAAGTGAAACATTCAAAGATAAACAGGACTTCTTCTACTCAGAAGTCAGAAAATATCATCAAAAAAATTTTCACGAAAAAACTCAGATCCGAATCGATCGGCAAAAGTTGTTGGAATCGTCAATGAGAGCGACAAAAGGCTTGACTATCAACGAGTGGTGTAAGAACTTTGAGATACAGTTTGTCGGAGAGTTGGGCGTCGATTGGGGCGGACTTCGGAGGGAATGGTTTGAGGTGTTGAGCGGAGTTCTCTTTGACGCCAATCAAACCGATTTGTTTCAGCGCTTCAAAAACGATAGACAGGGTTTAGTGCAACCGAATCCCAAGTCTGAGCTCAAACTCAAATACTATGAGTTCGCCGGAAAGATAGTGGGAAAGTGTTTGTATGAGTCGGCGCTCGGGAGTAGTTATCGCCAGCTCGTGAAGGCGCGCTTTTCCCGTTCATTCTTAGCACAACTCATTGGTCTTAGAGTTCATTACAAGTACTTCGAGAGGGACGACCCCGACCTCTATGTCTCTAAAATCAGATTCATTATCGATAACGACGTCGAAGATATGGACATGTATTTCACTGAAGACGAGTACGACATGAGTTCGGGAAAACTGTTACGTACTGTGGATTTGATACAAAACGGATCTAAAGTGAAAGTAACGAACGCTAATAAATTGCAATATTTAGATGCACTCGCGCTCTACAAACTGTCCACTTCTGTGAGGGAACCGATTGAATACTTTCTCAAAGGACTCAATGACTTAATACCAGATAATCTGTTGTGTATATTCGATGAGAACGAGTTGGAGCTCTTGATGTGCGGTTCCGGCAATTACTCCATTTCTGAGTTTAAGGCCAACCACGCCGTCAGTTGCGGTAATTACGAGTTCCGTAAGATTTTGGACTGGTTTTGGACCGCAGTCTCCAATTTTACCGATGAAGAGATGGCACGACTGTTGCAGTTCACGACCGGGTGCTCACAACTGCCTCCGGGAGGGTTCGCGGAACTGAATCCCAAATTCCACATCACATCTGCGCCCACATTCGGAGTGTTGCCGACCGCTCACACGTGTTTCAATCAGATATGTTTACCCGAATACGACTCTTATGAACAGTTCGAGAGAGCGCTACGACTGGCCATCAACGAGGGTTCCGAAGGCTTTGGTATGATTTGAGAGCAAACCATGCAATCATTCCGTAATCTAGTCGTAAAACTATGGCTTAATTTTTTGCCTTTTATATCAAAACTAAAGACAATTTAAACGAAACATTTTTTACTCGAATACGTGATTAGTTTCAAGTGATTTCATTTCTCTCGTCATTTTACTCATTCAAAACTTAAACTTAAATTATAATATATTTTTAATTAAATGTATATTTTGAGTGCCTTTTGGAATATAATTTATAATCAAATTAATAAATTAAAAAATATATTTCAATACGAATTTTTTATTTAAAAATTTATTCATTTTTCAATCAAACAAAAGAATATAAAGCAAAAAAAATTAAATATTTTTTAATTCAATAAAAAACTTCAAAAAAATCTAAAAAAGAAGGAAAACCTATAATCAAAACACTGATCGGCAGGAAAACAAAAAGCATTTGTTTCGCACAAAAAAAACGATTCAAATAATGATCACTTAATGATAAATATTTCCCTTTCAATGACTTAATGAATGATTTTTGAACTCTTCAAAAAACTTATGTATTTTGAATGAATTACTTGTTTGCGATTTAAATAACTATTTATAACGATATCGGACCCAATCTGTCGAAGATATTCTTCCGCAGAGAAATTGTCCTCTTTTTATTGAGCGCATCGTTAGCCCTCTTCATCGCAATCCTCTTGGCCTGCGTTACGGCCGTCGACGCCGTCGGCACCCGATTGGTGGCCACAGAAGCGGCCGTTCGGTTGACAATCATTCGGTTTGATGGAGAACTCGATGACAATCGACCCGTTATTCCTATTCTATTCTTAACGCCAATTGTTTCTATAATTATTGATAAAATGTTTATTAATTAATGTGAAAATGAGATGATATATGGCTTTCAATACCAGTTTGAGTGCTTCTCAAAGCGTTTGGCGCAACGATTGGTTTTTTAGGCAATTGTGTAATCCTTTCATTTAATTTAATTATGTTTTTATTATTAAGAGTTGTGTTAATACTGCTCCCACTTATGGTCACCCGTCGGATGGGATTCATTGAATCCATTCCCGAAGAGTTTCCCAAACGCGCAAAAATGGTTGAATTCTTGTCACTAGTCTTAGTCTCAGCGCCTAAACGAGAAAAAACAGATGATTTGGATTTGACCGCAGAAGAGGAC